GTATGTGCACTTGGTTCATTTATTTAAGTTGCCGAATTACAGTAACTAACAATACAGACATTCTATTATAATCTTGTAGCTATATACTCTCGAACCATTTATGTAATGAATAAATGATGATTTCAGTTTGAATCTGGAGCAATGGTTGTCGCACGACCACTGGTCGTCGGATAGTTCTAGCTCGGAGGGCGAGCCTGAAGCCGCCGTGTTCGCGGCGCCACAAAAAGACGCGCGACCCACCGCACAGTTCACGCCGGAGGAACTTGCCATGGTACGTCTACACTTGTATACTTATCACTGGTAAACAAAGAATTCCCAATTAAAAGCTAGTTTGCAATAATCTACTTTATATTGTTGTATTAGATCGCTGATTCCTCTTGTTATTTACTGTCATATACTTTCCGTAGTTACGCGAGGCCCGAAGACAGGAGCAAGCAAACAACCCACATTACCTGAAAGATGACTCGCCGCGGTCCTACCAACAAGACGACATTCCCATCGCTGAAATAGCTCTCGAAGTCCCACTACAAGTCCATAGTGAGTAGTAGCCATATACCTTTTGCGAGGTCTGACTGAGAGTGACTAAAAACAATCTCATTCTTCTTACTCTTGGTCCATGTCGGGGCTACGATGGATATTGAATTTATTAACCGCCAGTAGACTTAGTTATACAAACTAAACCACTGTACTAAACTAAAGTCATCAATGCATATTTAAGTTGCAAACATGAAACAAGTCTAATCTTTATTGTTGTCGCTTTCCAGCCAAGAGATCTGATAAATATTTACTGTCACGAGAGAATTCAAGCAAGAAGAAGAAAGAAAAACGAACGTCAAAGAAAAGGAAAAGCAAAAAGGACAAACCATCGAGCGACTCCGATAGTGAAGGTACCGTCACACTTGTTAAAGAAACTTACGGGAGACATGAACTTATTGTTATTTGTGCCTATGTAGTTTTACAAATTATGTTGTGCCAGACTATTGCATTACAGGCTGAGAGTCTACCAATTTCATCATTAAAAAAAATAATACCAACCTAAATTTGAGCTCAGTGAAATAATAAAATTGTTGATTCCTGGCTTCGATTGACACTATTAAACATTGAAAATGTAAAAAGTCTATGTTATTTTTTCCAGAAGAGGCAAGTCTCAGTCGGCCCGCAGTGGCGGAAGGTGGCGAGCTGCCCGAGGGCGCCGCACTGTCCGACGAGGAGCCGCCGCCGCCACCTGACGACCCCCACCGTGCGCTTGACCTCGACCTCGATCAGTCAGTAATTCTCTCTACAGTAATTAATTACTTTTATAAATGATGGAACATCAACTAATGATGTATGTTGTACACTCGACAGGCCGCTTCGTGACGAAGAACTACTTACGTCAAGAATAAATCAATATCCTTCTCCTGAAGGTGGATTGTTGACTAAAAAGTCAAAATCATCAAAGAAAAACAAATTGGCTGATAAAGGTTCTGGTGACAAAGCATCAAAGAAAAAGAAGGAAAAGAAATCTAAGCAAAAGTCTGTAGATTTAATTCTGCCAGAAGTAGCGGAAGATCTGCTTATTGAGGATTTAAGTAAGACAAATGGTAAGAAATCTGTGAAAGGAAGTGACGAAGTGGAAGAAGCTATACTCGTCGATCCCCACCCGAAGGGCACTAAGACTGAAAAACATAAAAAATCTAAAAAAGAATCAAAAGACAAAGAGTCCAAGAGGAATAAATCATCATCTAAGAAAGGTAACTAACTATCCAATACCCATCTTTTATATCAATTTACTAAAACCATACTGGTATAGGTACTTACTAATGAATCTTTAACTTTACAGGCAAACACGAAAAGAAGACGGGGTACGAAGAAGCTTTAGGTATATCTACACCTAGCAAAGAAGTCATTTAGTGTACATAATAAGTAAATTGCTTAATTTCCTTCATTGATGTCACGCTATACATGTCTCAGTGCAATTGTTAATTTGAACAATTTAAGAATATTTTTATTGAAGATTAGTTCAACTCCAATATGTATTAGTTTAAACTCATTCATATTTGAAAGTGAACTATGTCCATTTATATGAATATAATATAATATTTCCATAAGTCTATATAGTAACAAATAAAAAGCTAAATATATTAATCATATAAAGTTTTATTATTGGAAATTATAGATACAATGTTAATTTGTATAAAAAATATTCATATTGGGTCGTATAAACCACTTCTTTTGATGATTACAAATATACCAAAATTATGTTGGGATTTACCTAATTAATAGTCCTAAAATTTATACTATACACTTAAAAACCATATATCACGAAATAATTCTAAAATATACACAATATACATAAAAAAAGCTATGTAAGTTACAGTCACATGTCGATCATTATTTTTACATAATAGTGTGGAGTGCAATATCACGGAATGTAACAAAATCCTTCTATGAGATTTCATATACACCTATTTAAAATGAATTTATTGAAATTGAAAATATACACAATCCATATTGCAGCATAATTTTTGAGTTTTCTTTAGTAGTGGTAGGTTACTCTTTTAATACGGAATTATTTTCCATTTGCTGATGAATATGTTCGTAAAGCTTTGACATTTCTCCGACTTATGTTGAACTAAAACAAAACACATATTATGTAAATGACAATTTCATTATTTGCCATAAGTTACCGTCAAGCATGTATTACATAATAGGTATTATAGAAGGAAAGTAAACATGTTGAATATACTTTTTCACAAATCAAGATAATGTTTTCTTCCTCCTATAAAACAAAAATAACATGCTTGCAGTATGATAAGTTCAACACATGCACAAATATATGAATACAGATACCTAAGTGACGTCAAAGTGTTTTCAGTTCACTTTTACCACATGTTCAAACAGTGAAGTAAAATATATTTGAAAGATATTGGTATGGTAACCATATATTTTTTTTATTTAACTCGTCGAGTACCGGTTTTGTAGACACAATTATAGAACAATAGGTTGCGGTCACCGGTGACCGCTTGGTGTTTGACAGTTTAACTTTGCATATTCTTGTATTTGTGATGTAGGTAGATTGTGAAGAAAAGTATAAACTACTCAAAACTTATTTGGTAGTGCCGGATTTTTCACGGAAGGAGGGAGACACGAGTTATATAGTAGCTTGAAAATTGTAAGATAGTTTTATAAC